CGGAGAGGTAAAACCACAAGAAACCTAAAACCTAGAACCTAAGATGTAAGATGCTAAATTGTATGTGTTTGTTGTTCAGGTGATGTGACCGACTTGTCTATGCACACATGAATGTTCTATATACAGTAAAACCTATATAAATTAATAATATTGAGATTTTGAAATTTTATTAATTTATTTATATAGATATTAATTTACAAAATTTCTTTATTAACATTTATATTGTTAGATTTATTTATTTTTGTAAAATTAAAAATATTTGATTTTTAGTGTACAGATATTAATTATTGTTTAAACTTTTTTGACATTTATATTAATTTATTATATTATTTGGTTTATATAATATATGTTGCATATAATTTAAATGTGGTTTTAGATATAATATTACAAAATCTCAACAAAAATATATTAAGTGTTAAGAAAATATTAAGATAATTCCATTGTGAATATAAAATAAACAACATAATGATAGGTTCTTATTTATACAAAATATGGATACATATAAACTATTAATTTATAATTTTAGTGGGACTATATATTTACATAGAATTTTGTAAAAAAAATATTATCTTATTATTTTATCGGTTTGTGTCAAATTTTGAACCGGTCCAGATTGGGACTGGGAAAAAATATTAATTTATAGAAGTTATTAATTTATCGAATATTAATTTATAGAGATTTTATTGTATATACACACAAATGAAACTGTTATAGAATGTTAGGGTTGTATTCTCAATACAAAGGTGGCCAAGATGTTAGTGGCGCATTAATCTTGATGTTGGGAAAGGCATTAGGCATAGAGTCATGTATTTCTGTGTTCACTTTCTCCTCATCCCTCATCTAATATGTCTGGACGAATCAACACTTCTTGAAATCTTCATAGAAAGGGACCTTTAAAAACCAAACTCTTTTGAGGAACATGGTGGAGCAGGAAACATAGCCTTTTGTCTGAGATGCACTGAAATTTTTTGTTATCTTTTTTTTTTTTTTTGGACAAACTACATTTTCCATTCATAATAAAAGCTTCCACTCCAGTAAAGGAGGAGATGTTCAGAGAGGCAAGAGCTGATTTTGCCACACTATCAGCATCACCATTACATAAACGAGGAATAAAAGAGAAGGAAATTGCATCAAAGGATAAACTGAAATGATAAATATCAAACAAGATGCCAAACAGTTCCGGACGGGATTCTTTAGCTCTCAGCATAGTGGTGAGAACCTGAGAATCTGATAGAACTATCAGCGATCGGACATTTGATGAAGAAAGATTATTTTTAAAATGTATTTCAGTTTTAATAGAATATATTATTCATAACATCTTAAAGATCATTAAAGAGTTAAAGTCCAAAACCACAAAGTTAGGAGATGTTATAATTAAAAATAATTTTGGATAAAAATAAAAATAATCGAAAGAAACTAAATTTAACAACTATTAAATCAAATAGAGTAATTATAAATACTGAAAATAATATTGTATATTTATATTTAAAAGATTGGAATGAACCGGAGATTTTCACTACAAGAAAACAAAGTATATTCCGAAGGAGATTCCAGAAAACATAATTTTGTCGAATTTTTCTGACCAATTTCCGATGATATTTTCAAAAAGATATATTTTAAGATCGTCACAAAATTCCAATAAATTTCTGATGGAATTCTCATGAAATTTAATGTATCTGTTGGCAATTTTCTTTTATAAATACGAGCTACTCTCTTATTCCCCCCCCCATACTATTCATTCTCTCTTCACTCACTTCAGTCACTACAAATTCGAAAAGAAAATAAATCATGTCTTCTGGAAACCATTAACGATCGTTGATGGATAAACCTCATCTGGATCCAAACCCCGAATGCACAGCCTAACCAATGAGATGGCAAGAAAAGCACTCCACAGATGATCAGGTTAGACATCTTTCAAATGAAAAAACTTGGAAACATTTCCAGTCAACATATGCAGAATTTTCCCATGAGAGAAGAAATGTTTATTTGGATTATGTACGTATGATTTCAGCCCATTTGGAAAGCATGGAAGGCAATATTCTCTTTGGTCAGTGATTGCGTTACCGTCACTTGCCGCCCAGTTTTTGCATGCAACAAGAGCTTTTGTTTCTCTCCATTCTATTCCCTAAGCCAGAACATTCTAAGAGATCAAATGATGTGTGTCTTCAGACACTAATATATGAGTTGCAACAATTATGGGTACATAGTGTTGAGACATACGATGTTTTGTGCAAAGAAAAGTTTAGAATGTGGGTACTATTTATGTTAAAATAAGTGTTTTTCAACATATGATATGTTATCTGGATGGACAATAGATGGGAAGCTATCATGTCTATATTGTCAAGATAGCTTAGATGCTTTTCAACTAAAATACGGAAGAAAAACATGTTGGTTTGACTATCACAGAAGATTTATACCATCCGATCGTCCATATCATAAGAGTAGGACTTTGTTTACGAATAACAAAGAGGTGTTTCACAGTCCACCTGAAGAAATTAGTGGGGAATATTTGTAGAAAAATTTAAGGGATTTTGGTGCATCAATGACGCCAGACGTAGGTGGGCATGAAAATATTCGAGTCGACACTGTTGGAGAACTACACAATGGCAAAAAAAAATTATGGAATCTACTATACTGGAAGGATCGTCTATTGCAGCATAATTTAAACGTCAAGCATATTGAGAAGAAATTTTTCAATAATCTGATGAACATAATCCTTAACATCCAAGATAAAACGAAGGATAATTTGAAGTCAAGATTGGCTTTGATCGACATTTGTGTTCGTTCTGACCTTCATGTTGATGAGAAGAGTGGGGCACCTTTTCTCATATTCCAATTGGATGCAGCTGCAAAAGAGGAGTTCTTTGATGGGATTACAGATAGAATGGCATTTCCAGACGGTTATGCATCAAACATGTGTAACAGCATCAATAAAAGTGAATGAAAGTTTACTGGCTTGAGTCATGATTGTCATGTAAAGATGCAAAGCCTCCTTCTATTTTGTTTTTCAGGACTATTGCAACATAATGTGTATGAAGCAATTACAGGTATCTTTTATTTTAACATTTTAATTAGTTATGAAATTAATTTATTATGCTTATATAGGTACTTATGAAATTTTTTCTTTGTATGTATGCATGGATAAACGTTTTCTTCCATGATATATGCACTAGATCACTACAGAGCACATTAGTAATTTGAAGGCTAACAGACTTGTGATCCTTTGCAACCTCGAGAAGATATTTTCTCCATCATTTTTCATGTAATGGAACATCTTCCTATTCATTTCACAAGAGAACTTGAACTTTGTGGTCCTGTGCAGTATCGATAAATGTATGTTTTTGAGCATTATATATATGCATTATCTGAAGAAGAAGGTCAAAAATTTAAGCAAGATGAAATGATCTATATTCGCACAAGTGATCAATGAAGAAATTGCAAACTTTTTCTGAAAACTACTTTCTATCAAAAGTGAAGACCAAAAACTGAAGACCTTCTCAGAATGATGACAGAGGGAAAATGACAACATATTATGTTATTGTCCCAAACATTTTTAGAAAAATTAGACGACTTAGTGGACAATAAAATAACAGAAGATTTATTGAGAGGAAGCACACTCATTTGTAAACATATTTGCTCACCAACTGTGATCATCTTACCATGGAACTTTACACTACAAGAAAATGATTTTATTAGCGAACGAAAAACGCTATATAATAATACCATAGCGGTTTTTGAAGCGTTGTATCATCGTCCGTGATAGTAGGTCAGGTACATTACATAGCGATTTTATTCGTTGCTATATTTTCTTCCGATACAATAGCGTTTCTTTAACTGCAATTAAAAAATATTTAATAGCATGTCATTAATGCTATTAGTTATTTATTAACAACAGCTTTTTCGTTTTGTTATTATTAAAACTACTATATCAGTTAATTAACTGCAATTGTTTATGCTGTATATTATAGGGTTTTTAGTAATAAAACCCCTCAACTAAAGATAGATCGTAAAAAAAAACCCTCAACTAAAGATTTAGTGAAATAAACCCTCAACTTTAGTTCCGTTAATGTTTGTCACCCTCCGTCACAGAATTTTAGACAGAAGGTAACATACGTTAACATAACTAAAGTTGAGGGTTTATTTCACTAAATCTTTTGTTGAGGGGTTTTGTTAAGATTCATCTTTAGTTGTGGGGTTTTATTACTAAATGCGGTTAAATATTTGAAAATCTCTATTATCATTTATTTAGTATTTAAGAATTTTACAATTGATTTATAAACATTGAAAATAATTTATAATCTTTTATATATATTACTTTATCAAATTTTTAACCTATTTATAAAGCTTAGTAAATATTTTAATTTTTTATAAACTATTAATAAGGTTTAAT